AGGACGGTGATGGAGCCAGGAGAGCACCCGGACGATTTTTTCAACAAGAAACACCGCCTCCGCTCTCAACTAGAGAAAATGGGGGAAACCATCTCCGATCGCCGCTTCAAGGACATCTGTGTGCAAGGTTTCTCCGAGGACTACAAGGATATCAAGAATATGGTTTTCCGCGACCCATCATTCGACGTACAACAGACGCTAGCCACCATGGGCAACATCTTCCTTGACGAGCAAATGCGCAAGAGAACCAAGGGCCAAATCGCTGGCCGCGGATTCGCCATAGCTACCAAGACATTTGGCCCCATCTGCTTCGAGTGCAACGAACCGGGACATGTCAGGAGGAACTGTCCCAATCGCCAGCGGAAGGGCCATATGGCAAAGAAGACGAAGCCTGCGGGAGCAACCAAGTGGTGCTCCGTCCATAATACCACTACACACTCCGACGAAGAGTGTTACAGCCAAGGAGCCACGCGACCAGAACGCACGGGCAAGGCTTTCTCCGCATGCACACACTGCATGCACTGCTCAATCCAGTCAGGAGACACACACGCCAAGCCAGCCTACTACAACGGAAACTCCCAAAGAAACAGAGAAGACCGAGAAGGCAGAGATCGACTTCTCTTACGACGAAGATGCATTCAAGGGTGGATTCATGTACCATGCTACATGCAGCAAGGGAAGCGGACGCACTTTCACGACAACTGCAACTGGGACTTCCGCGCTGGTGGATTCTGGAGCTTCTGAGACCATGTTCGACAACCGCCTCATCCCGAATGGACGTCTCGAAGAAGAATGCCCGACGCCCAAGATCATCGACGTTGTAGGAGAAAGCCAACTTCAAGGCACTACCACTGGGATCCTACACTGCACCATCAAATACGACAAAGAANAGGACACCCCCGAACAACAAGAACCAGGGCGCAAGCACAAGTTCGGAAAACCAGAAGCGGTACAGATCGATCTCATGGGACCAATCGACCCGCCTGCGAAGAACAACGGACACACCTACTCCTACGTCGCCAAAGCGACAGACGTCTTTACCAGAACGCCGGATTGTACCTACTGCGCCACAGGACCGAAACCACGCAAGCTCAAGCAAGCTGCACGCCTACAACATGCAAGTAGCATCTGAAGGCTACCGCATCGAGGTTCTACGTTGTGACAAAGGCGGAGAGAACACTGGGGAAGAAATGCGCAACTACTGTAGGGAGTCTGCGATCAAGCTGGAATTCGCCGCGACCAACACGCCCCAAGAAATCGGAGTGTCAGAAAGGGATGGCCAGACACTTGCGGCTGTGACTCGAGCTCTACTGCGCGATGGAGACTTCCCAAAACACATGTGGGGGGAGCTCATGATGACTGCAGCATACCTGACCAACAGGACCCCACACGCGGCGCTAGGGGGAGCCACGCCGTATTCCAAGATGTACAACACAACCCCGGACCTTTCTCGACATCGTGCCATCGGCGCCCGCGCGTTCGTTCATCACGAGCGATACAAGAAGAAGCTAGACGATCGGGCCTTTGAAGGCAAGCTCTGCGGTTACGGACCTGACAGCAAGACGTACCGGATCTACGTGGAGGGCAGAGACAGGGTCTACGAGAGCCGGAACGTGACTTTCATCGAGACTCCATCCAACACCATCCTCCCTCACCGGTGGGACGACCGCCTCGGAAATGAACAGGACGTGATGAACTTCACGTCATTGCTCGGACGCGGTACTTCTACGGGCGACGAAGTCAACAAAGTGGACTACGGAACACATTCAGAGCTCCTACTGCACGAGATGCGCAACATGCAGCAAGACGACATCAACCGAGCAGAACTTCGCCAAAACGACGCGGGCACGGATTCCGACGACTACTTTGCTGCTGGGTGAGATGACAGCAACGACAACTCGTGGACTACGACACCATCCAGGACCTCGTTGACACGACACTCGAATCACCCACGACGCCAACAGACACGGACTCCGCTTCGCCAGCCCCGATCTCAATGCGTCGATTAACGGTGACCCGTCCTGCCACGCGCACTCACCAACCCACAGATGACCCTATCGACCCTTCATGCATCCCGAAATCTCTGGAAGTGAACATGAACGACAGGGGCCGCTCTGCCATGGCTGTCAGCCACCCCGACCCACTGGAGCTCACCGAGGATCAACTACTCGATCTCACCCACCAAGCGCAGCAACGATGCCCTACCGACGCGGCGGATTTTGCTCACCTGGATGAAGACCCCTTTGCCGAAGNAGAGGCCGCTCTACCATGGCTGTCAGCCACCCCGACCCACTGGAGCTCACTGAGGATCAACTGCTCGATCTCACCCACCAAGCGCAGCAACGATGCCCTACCGACGCGGCGGATTTTGCTCACCTGGATGAAGACCCCTTTGCCGAAGTCCGGGCGTATGCTTACGCCACAGGCACCTCGAGCAAAGGGTTCTTGGGGGAGACAAACAAAGAGATCTAAACTCCGAGCACGTACACCGACAGAGACGTCTACGTCAGGCCGGCGCCAGGCGACGAGGAGAGGGACCCCACGAGAGGTGAAGTGATGGTCTACAAACTGGAGAAAAGTCTGTACGGCCTGTCTCAGTCCCCGTCACTGCGGAACGACGCCATCAATGACCGACTCATCATCTTCGGCTAGCAGCGCACTCACTCTGACCCCTGTGTCTACATCTTCGTAAGCGGGGACGAACTCACAATCCTCGCGATCTACGTCGATGACATCCTCATCACGGGCGGAAACAAGGAGATCGTCAACAGGAAAAGAAGGAACTCATGGACAGCTTCGAAATGACAAGACATCGGAGAGGTCAAGCGCGTAATCGGCATCGAAGTGCAGCGGGACTAGGAACATGGCACACTAGCCACATCGCAAGGACCCTACGCGAGACATATCCTACAGCGATACGGAACGGAACAGGAAAACCCGGTCAGCACCCCCGGATATGGAGCAGAGCTATCACTCGAGCAGCCACAAGACCAACTACTCGGACCCGAGGACAAGCAGAGATTCCAGGCCATCACCGGGAGTCTCCTG